TTTTTTAAGCATGAAACGAAAAAAAAAGATACCAAATAGTCTATTTTGTAGAGCCTGAAGTGTTCTATCGTATGACATATGTTTTGTATTTTTCTCTCTCTCTCTTTTCACGTATATGCGTCTGAAACATTTTATGACAGGTACTTATTCATTTTCTTGTAGAACGTCATTATTTTTCATTTTTCTTCGCTTGTTTACCGATGAGTAAAAAACGAAGGTAATCAAAGTAAAGAGCGTCATGTGACGAACAAATTAATAAAATAATTACGTTTGGATGATTTTTCTTTTTGATGAAAAAACTGTTCTCTTTCTCGAAGTCACGTTTTTACTCAATTTGTAGGACGACATTTTGAAAATTTGTTTGCGAATAGCTTTTGAATAACTTATCCGTTTTCGCTCAAATTTTTACTAGAACTACACTTGTAAGAGTTGTATTACCAGTTAAATATACATCCATCTATCTCTTTCTGTTATAAAGATATTTACAAAATATAATGAAATGTAGAAGAACATTTTGTCATCGCATAAAATTTTTTAGTATGCATTTGCATTGAAATAAGTCGTATCTCAGCTAATATGTAGTAAAGTGTTGGAAAACTTTTGCTGTGTAATAAAATGCACTGTTCAAAAATTCTTTAGGTCTACGATTATTTTCTCGCAGCAATTGTACCCAAAGTTGCAATTCACTCATATATAAAGAGCCTTATACGATAAGAATCGAAATATGCCATTTCCTTAAAGTCTTTTAAAATACACATTGAATATTGTTCTGTATGTTTTTATGTCATGGATTTGATTATTATTATTGAGAAGCCAATATGACTCATCAGCTTGTGTGTCAATATTGTGATTAGATACATATGTCTTCGATCTACAACATATATATATATATATATATATATATGGATAAAAGTACATTCAAGTGATCGTTGTAAATCTTCGTTCTCCATTATTTGATCCCGACGTGTAGGTTTTTAGTGCTAAAAGCATTTATTTAGATATAATAAACTGCAAAAACCATAGACTATAATAGAATTCTTCTCTTTTTGGTATATCTAGATTACTGTTTGTAATGCTCAGATCGATATAGTAATATCTGTCATTGGATGATCATAATGTGTAGCATTTTATGCGAAACGTGAAGATTTGGATTTGGAGAACTCGCTTAGAAATCTTGCGGGATAGTTATAGATGTTTTTCTTCCCGAAAATATTGGCACGTGTTTGTGAATTGTTCGTCGTATTTGGGTAAACTTTATTTTCATTTCATGACTACTTATCAGTCTGTGGTGACTGAAGAAAATTCTACTAATTATGATATGGAAGTTTTTATTATATAGGATCTTGTATAGTCATAGAATGGATCTTTGTGATGGGACTGATTGTGTATGAATGATTAGGCATGATGTCAATATTTTTTATTTTTTCATCACGGAAGTGAGCAAAGAAAATCCTCATCTTCATTAGATCAATCAACAAAGTCATCCACTAAGTTACCGCGGTCAAGATGTTTTAAGTATATATCGGCTGTTCGATTCGTAGAAGGATTATTAGAATATCGTTTATATCCCAAAAACTAAATAATAGCTACTTGATGTGAACATATATCAACTGATCGATCACCATTTCGACAGCTACAGCAGCTATTCATGATTTGAGTCGAGAGTAATATGGTGTTGCGAAAGGAAACATATATCCTAATATACGAGTAACTCTGACGTAGCATCTCAAGATGTTTACTAATAATTTTTGATTTGTATATAAGTGTACGACGTCACAACTTTTCTTTCAACCTGTCGCACTAACACGCCTACTCTACTGGTAGTTACAAGAGAAACCTTCTTATGTAAGACCATTAGTGTTTCACGCTCATCCTTGAGTTGAGCCATTATCTATTCATAAACATATCTGTTCTTCTTAGCCTCATTTCGGACATGATCAACGGTCACAAAATATTTCATTCCTCACGTTATTTTAACACCCTCACATTGTTTTCCAAATGTAGTTTTTGACCGATCCAAACATATAAGCCCTGTCAAATAATCGAGAACAAAGGTTTACAGAGATCACTCGAATGTACTTCATGTTGCTAGGATAGTAGGTTTTCCGCAATCTCTTGTCTTTGCAATCTTGTACCTCTTAGTAATTGGTAGGTACTCTAAAAAGGTGCCTTTAAGTCTGAACCAAATACTAGAGAAGGAAAGTCCACACCGTTTACTCTGAGGTATACGTATTTTGTAGATCTATGACAGATGTATCTAATCACAGTATTGAATGTTAAAAATATTTCTAGAGAGAACTTCTCAATAATAATGAAAAATCAAATCTACCACACAAAAAATGCGCGGAACAACATGCTCTTTCATGCAGTGTATATTCATGTATTATAATCAGAGGGTGTATAATGCAGTACTATTGACACATGACAGTAAAATAATAAAATACTTAAGAGAAAACAAAATTTAATAGATCGACTTCGAGCCTAACCGAGTCTGTGCTGCTTGGTTTAGTCTTGGGTTCAGTATGTGCATAAGGATGACAGATTTCGAGTCTTATCGTGTCGAATCCTTTTGAAAAAACTTTTTATTGTTTAGGTGTTTTTCTCATACCATATATTATCTTTCTATTTTTTCTTGGTATTCCATTATTTTATCTTGAAGTTAATCTGGGACAATTTACTTCTCAAGGTGCAACTCACTGTTGGAAAATGGCACCAATATTTAAAGGTGATTTCTTTTTCTTCTTATTAAATACACAAACATGAAGAATTTCTTTCATATATAAATATAGGTCTTGGTATTTCAATGAGTATAATGTCATTTTTTTTCACAATTTATTATACTATGTTAGTTGGTTATTCAGTTCTATATTTTATACTTTCATTTCGTAAGGAACTTCAATGGGCAACATGTGGTTCATGGGCAAGTATTAGTACGTAATTAACTTTTCTATTTATGTTTTATTTAATTTTTTGAATAAATATATTTAAATAGATTGTGTAAGTAATTTTTCATCGCTTACAACACAAAGTAATTATGAAAATACTTATAAATATCCAAATGATCGTTTTCTTTACACATTTTTAGGTCAAAATTTTACAGAAACTAGTTCATCGAATATTACAAATGGAACACAATATGGAAAACCTGTTCTACCATCAGATGATTATTTTAAGTAAATATCAAGAGTATATCTTTCTCCTCTCTTTTTATTTTGACCAAAAACTCAGTTTCAAGTGTCTTTACATCTTTTGACCTTAAATAACTTGCTTTTAGAATATTATTGACTCTTTTAAATTCTTTTTTTCATATTCATCATAATGAAAATCTTTTCTTGTATTATTTTTAACGTGAAATACGAGGTTTTACAAGATGTATTGAATTTTGACTCATCGGGTTAAAACATTTCTAACAGACATTTGCAGAGTTTTTCAAAGACGTATGTGTATCTTTTCGTTTATAACCGTTTTTTGCATAATTATAGAATTTCAATGTCACAAAATATATAGGGAAAAAAGAATTTTAAAGACTTCTGTAAAATATTACAGAGTCGGCGACATTACTTTTGTTAATCCCTAAGTAGCTACTTGGAAAAATATTTAAAATCGACACTTACGAGAGAACATCCCCAAGTGTGAGCCTCAGTTTTGAATGAGATATATACTAGTTTGTAGAGCTTGACGAGCTGATTCTTGTGGTATGTTCCGTTTTTGCCCATAGATCTCAAATAAGAAAAATCAATCGATTTTAATAGTGAATTTCTTGCCTTAGATAAGTTGTAAGATATTTGTTAGGAAATCAAAAATCAAGATTATTTAAAGTTCAAATCGTCATATTAACATACACAACGACACAGTCAATATATCTGAGTGCACTTCAATCAAATATGCTTCATGACTTGTTACTATTAGTACATGATGGTGTAATATTGTATTAAACAAATAAGATAGCGATAATTCTTTTCATTGTATTGTTATGCGCTGATGATACACATCCCTTATTTTCTCGTTCTTTCTAGTATATTCTAATTGGTTCTCTCTCTTTCTGTTCTGTGCTTTTCAGCTATCAAAAAATTCTGTGATTTTCTAATATTTTCGAGTGAATTCCGTCGCCTTCTTTCAAATCTATATATATATATACCTGTCATTTGGAAAATAGTCTATGATATATCTTCTGATTAATATTCTCTCAAGTTTCACTACGTCAAAACTTATTTTTCTATGACGAACGTCTTTAACATATGTAAACTTTTATATGAAAAAGCATTAGAAAGGTCAAATGTTCATTCAATAAGTACCACAGAAGAAGAGACATCGATCACAATCAATCTGCTCGATCTATTAGAGGATCTTTCCAACAGTGACAGCTTTACTATAGAGTCAGAAGATTCTCTCGAAGTTTCTGGTGTCGACCATTTTGACCTGGACTATCTTGTTGAAATCGAAGATGATGAAGAGCAACAAGCAGTCAAAAATCGTCAGTTCAGTTTAGAATACATGCAAAGGGTTGTCGACTTTGCTCGTCCAGGTGTTGCTTTTACAACCGTACGGCATGCTTTTCGACGAGTTACACATCCTATGCAATTAAAGCGATTTCGAGAATATGTTACAAACAACGGAAACCGTCGGCAAAAATTGAAGCGTGTAGAGTATTTTGCACCTGATATGTTTCGCTCTGCTCGTAATAACAATTTACCTGTGCACGATTTTGACGTGAAGCGATGGGCTCTATCCCAAGCAAAAATAGAAAATATAGATGGTTTTAAAAGCAAGTGATCATTGGCTTCTCAACTTCAAAAAACGCAACGGCATATCTTCCAGAAAAGTGACAAAATTCGTTTCTCATCGGGAAGTTGTGGATAAATCTATAATTAAACAGACTGCTGATGAATTTGTCGCTGAAGCAACCAAACATATACCAAAATATAAGCTTGATTTTGTGCTAAATGCAGATCAATTCAGTTTTAATTACGAAATAGCTTCGAACCGTACACTATCTTATGCAGGAGAGAAGGCGACTTATCTATCAGTAAAATCTTTGAATACTATAAGCCATTCCTATACAGTGATGTCGATCATTAGTGCTGCTGGTCAATTGCTCAGTCCTGTTTTTATTTGCCTTCAGGAACCCACAGGTCGATTCCCAATTACAAGAGCGGTCTTTCCAGCACCAAATATAGTAACCAGTTGCAGTACGTCTGAGAAATTAAATAAATCCTTAATAGAATACTGGATTAGAGAAGTTCTCGATAAAGTAGTCAGCAATCGATTCCTTCTTGTGGTCGATCAGTGGTCACCGCATGCTGACAATACTACATACGAGAATAACCTGACAAAGGGACAGTCGTGTAAATTATTAGTGATACCTAGAAGAGCAACATCAACTAAACAACCGTGTGATACTTATTTTTTCCGACAATGAAAAGTGTTAACAAAAAGAATATATCATCGTGTATCTCTAGACGAATTAGATGTTGACTTAAGAAATCATGACGCTATCATCAAACTACAAAGTCTGGTTCATAATCAACTGAGTTCTTTTTTTATTTAAACCAATGATTTCATATGCGTGGTCAGCTTGTGGCTACATTCCTAAACAATACTCGAATTTTTCGAGCGTTATAGAAGTTTGTTTTTCTTTTGATGCGGACAGTTGCTCAAATAATAATTGTGAAGAGAATGCGTTTATTTGTTGTAGTCATTGTCGACGAATATTGTGTTTCGAACATTTTTTCACCGCGTATCATTTTCATTGATTGTGTTCCTGATATATTTTTCGAATAAAACGAGTGAAACGATAAAACGATAGTCTACGCAACTCGAAACACCAAAATCATAAAGCTTAAACTTCGGAATGTAGAAAAAAGCTTTCTTAT